AAAAGAAAATGGAAACCACTATCATTATAATAGGGTATATGGGTCTAAGGGGTTATATAGGGATAATGGGAAAGAAAATGGAAACTACTATAATAATATAATAGGGTATATGGGTCTAAGGGGTTCTGTGGGGATAATAAAATGGAAGCTACTATAATATAATAGGGTATATGGGTCTAAGGGGTTATGTAGGGATAATGGAAAAGAAAATGGAAACTACTATTTGCATTTTCATGATTGCCTCAAACCTCTCTTACCCCTGTGTAGTGTTCACTACCCTTACGGGGGCATTGTGTAAATATGATCATTGTTCATGGTTGCATGAATCTTCCCTCCAGTCCTCTGTAGGACTGTTCCGAAGTTTTTTGTGTTCTTCTTGTCTCTGTGGTTATGATCATTAGCCAGGTTGTGCTCTTATGATTGCTAGTGAGGTATGCGCCTGCGTGAAGGGTTGTGCAAATCTTGTAACTGTGGGTTGTGCTTTGTGTTTGCATGTGGAACTGGAAGACGTGTCCACTGGCCGTGACCACGCGCGGTCGTGGACAGACCTCTGCCCCTCCGCATCTCTCTCTGCAGTCGTCTTGAACAAGCATGGTTGTTGCTGAATGGTACCCCAGTAGTACCCTTTTGCCCTTTTTAATTTAGGGTCTCCTTATTAAAGCTGAATATCAGGAAAAAGGGTACCCTTATTATTATGGGTTTACTGGGGAACCTAGTTGCTGAATGGTATTCGCATATATAGCAGTCATTTGATTCTGTGGCCATGCTTGTCGTCGTCATTAGCGCTATAGCCATCAGCATAATTATTGCTACCTTTCTACCAACATCATCCACGTCGCCATCGTCATCATCCTCATCCCCTTCTACCATCATCGTCGGTGGCAGTGATGCTCCTAGCTTTGTTCTTACTGTTAGACTTACACGTATGGTCGGAGTTGTGAGTTTCGTGCTGTTTTGGTCTTTTTCTTGCAGTAGGTGGGGAGGCCGGAGAGGTGGAGGTCACGCTGGTGGTTCAGCTGCCAGTCCCAGACATGCGACTTGAAGCGAAGTGGGAAGCAAGAGAGGACTTCATAGGGATCCTTAGGGGATGGGGACCCGACAGGGAGCTCGGTTGACTATTGTGGGTTTCTGAAGGATGGGTTGATGACGGAATACTTATGGATTGAATGGGCATCATGTAAACATTATATGATAGGCATTAAAGATTATAGTATATTGGGGTAATAAGAATGTTGGGGTTATATTGGGGTAATAATAGCATTGGTGTTATTACTATTATTTTAAGACGGCTGGCCTCATTGTTACTGTTATGACCATTATTGCTGTTATTACTTTATTATTATTACTATTATTATTACTATGAGTTCTATTATTACTAGTATTACTATATTTACTATTATGGGCATTAAAGACGGCTGGCCCTGGAGATGCAGGAGACCTCCGAGTTGTTGGAGCAGCTGCATGTCCTGAACATGGATCGGCCAGCAGGGAGAGGCTGGCCACCGAAGAATGTCCTGGTCCCTTCTTGCAGGCCCATGGGACTTAGTAACCGCTTATAACTGAGCTTATAACCCTACTTATAATCCCCCTAAGTGGGCTTATAGGGGTTAAGAGAAGTAGGGTTAAAATCCCAGTTATAAGTAGGCTTCCAAGTACTTGCAGGATGGGCTGCGCAGGACTTGATCCAGACTCTGGACTCATGGTTTTGGTGGGAGGCGGGGCTTACGAGCATTTTCGGCCTCGAAGTGGTCGGCCTACCCGTGGCTACGTGTCGGGAGATGGCTCGGACAGCGTAGATGCTTCGGACTGGGAGCTGGCTTGCAGTGACGAGGAGCTTGCGGCCAAGGAATTCATCCCATTTGTCTGGCAGCGAGGCTTGCAACCCTCCGCTGCAGCTACCCCCTTCCCTCTACCCAAACGCCGCAGGCAAAGTCCGCCTCGCCGTTTCGCATCCCAAGCAGTGCGCTTCCGGAACACCGCGAGAAACAACCTGCTAGTGCTGCCTTCCGAGAGCCCGGCATTCTCGGTCCCCCTGGATGCCCACGATCCTCTTGTAACGGCGGTGGAGATTCATGCTCTGGCATCGCTGCAAGGTTATCCTTTTCCTTCCGTCGGCATTGCTGTGGCCCTGGCGACAGGAAGCCGCAAGAAGTTCGTTGGGCCATTGATGCTGGTGGCGTGCGAGCTAAGTCCAGCAGGTGCAAGATGCAGGCGCTTGACAGCTGCAGGGACGGACTGCCAGGCAGTTTGCCTAGATCGAGCGAAGCAGGTAGCAGTTGCAGCTGAAACGCGACGCGGCGGTCGTTTCATTTCCTTTCACCGCCTTCGAGTCTTTGGCTCGTCCTTCGCCTCAGTTGAGTCAACGGCGACTGTCGAGGAGGGATCCAGCAGAGGCAGAAGCTTGCTGGTTGTCAGTAGGGAATGGAGGAATGGATCCCATTAGTAGCCCCAATAAAGCCCAGTAATGTAGTGGCAGTCTCCATTTTCATGTTCACTCCTTCACCCCCCTGGTAGTAACAATCAGCAAGGAAGAGCTACGAGCATTGCGTGGGCTGAAGCAGCCGCTGCCGTTCTTCTGACGTTCGCTGGTGAGCACGCCATCTACGTCTTCCAGAAGGTTCCGAAATCTAAGCAAAGGACATCTAGCGGAGGGCTTCCCACATCTTTGGGTCTTGTCACTGCTCAGCAGCCTGGTAGCCAATTTCGTACAACCCCGTACTTACAGTCGCTGCGGCTAAGCTAGGTTCTGCTGGTGCTGATTTGCATCCCCTTTCCAGATGGGCACGGGCTGGCAACCCGTGCGCACCCTGGGAGACGCCTCAAAGCGAGGATGTGAGGACCGGTTGAGCGTAGCGGCTCTTGCCTTTGTAATCTGTAGGGATACCTGATGGTGTTGCGGAGATGTAGACGAGCTCTCTCTATATGGTCCTAGAAAGGCACTGAGGCTAGGTGGGTGTCGCGTTGGGTGACCTTGTTCGGGGTGCTTGCACGTGGAAGAGGCAGTGATAATCTCTGCAGCGCGTTTGCACTGAAGGCATTCAGGCTGGAAACCTCTTGCAACAACCTTTTTTATGCTCGCTGGCCTCCTGTGAGGGTGTCAGGATAGATCGGAGGAAGCGCCCCATGAAACCGTGCCTGCAAAACTCTCCAAAAGCAGGGTGGTACGGACCATAGGCTCAGAGCTCCTCCTGCTACTTCCCGTGAGGGTTCCATACGGTTCCGAATTTTCCTTTGCAGGAACTGCATGATAATTTCCAACAGGAACTGCCGGAATCATGAAGCTTCTCGTTTTTTTGGGGACCCATCACAGAGCCTCGTTGTATTCTGCACTTCTCAGGAGGGACCTGCTGCAGAACTGCGCTTCTGGTTTCCAAGCGTCGATTGCCGTCTTGTGCAGGGCCCGTACGGTTCTCTGATGCTGGAACTAACTTTAGAGTTCAGACCGCGCGAAGGGTTCAAGGAGGGGCTGTCTGTGTAGCATACAGGGACAGATTGAAGTTGGGTGGTAACACTGAAAGGGCATTGTGAAGTAGAACCCTGAACATATCGGAATTTTGTTATCTTGTACCTCTTGCAAAACTGTAGCGCAGCGTGCCGCCCCACTTATCCGAAAACCTCGTCAAGTGCTTGAAATTCAAAATCTCTCACGCCCCTACCGTACGGCCTAAGGATGAAGGACTCCTGCCCGCTGGTCCCGGGTCCGAGTGGCGCAGTCTACGTTCATAGCGGGGGCACCCTGTTGCGCTTATCTTCCGACCTCGCTTCTGCTTCGAAGATGGCCTCGCTGAGGGACTGATTTTGGTTTGACTTCTTGTTGGCAGGTATTCATTTCAACTTTTACGGATGGTATTGTCGATGAGCATTGCAACTACGATGCCGTGAACGGGCTTGTTTTGTTTCCCATACATAGGTTTTAGGTTTGGCGTGCTAAGGGTCAGGGGCGTCTAGCATCAACAGGAGGAGTTGTGGTTGACAGACGATGACGAGGGCACGCCTTATTTTCCAACCTGCCAGAGCGTCTTTGGCATGTGTGCCGGCAGCGTCTACAGATCGCTTGTGCGCACAGACGATACAGAAGACGTTCTGATACGCAGGCTCCATATCTCCGCCGACCTCCGCCAGCCCCGGAGCAGGATCCGTGCCACAGCGCGGAAACTTTGGCCAGATATCACCGAGCAGGGAACTTATGCCGAAGAGTTGGATCCTGGCTACGCTGCCATCGCTCCAGCTTCTTACCAAGAGGTGCGACGGGATATGTGGGACGGAAATTCGCTGTGGCTGGCTGACGGCTGGCTGTGGGAGCATTGCCCAGAAAAGATGCCTGATGATCTGCGCGTATCACGAACTGGAGCATGGACAACGTTCGGGGAATGGCTCCGAAAGTCGGCCGACGGTAGGCGATCCCTGCGAATCTGGGTGTCAGAACTTTGCATTGTGAATTTTCATGATGATTATTTGTTGCCTTAGACTGGCACACACGAAGTCTGCTACTGCCTTGCGTAAACTTTCAGCATGGTGCAGGTCTCCTTCTTATGGCAGGGTTACCGGGCTACCAAGGAGAATTTGAGGAGGCTGTGCGTGAAAGGTGGTGCTTTGTGCATCCAGATGAAGTTCATCATCCCTCTCACGTTCATCCTTTGACAAAATGCCAAGCCCCGAACTTCACGTGTGATGTCTGCTCAAAGCCGCGCCTGTCTCTGGGTTATTCCTGCGCGGCCTGCAACTTCAAAGCTCATCTCGAGTGTGTTATCCAGGATGAAAGACAAAATCGCGAAGATTTCGAGGCGCGTCTGCAAGTCTGGTTTCGGGACCAATATGAGGAAGACTGCAAGCCGGTCCTTCCTTGGCGCAAATAGGCTCCAGCAGATCTTGCGTCGTAGGATTTTCAGTCCACGCGCCGCTGCTGGCAAAAAGGTGGCACCTTACTCTGAAGCATCCCTTGCCATACATGCGAAGACCTGGTTAAACCTCGGTGTCTCCGCCAGCAAGGAACCACAATCGAAGGCATCTGTAGAATACAGTTTCCTAACGAAGTCGTTCTTGCAAAATAACCTACCCAAAGCCTTAAAACTGAAACCATAGACGGCTTGATAGAGTTCCACTGGACTGGAGGAGTGAGTGAAGTGATATAAAGGGTCTATTGGGATATATATTGGGATAATGGAAAATAAAATGGAAACTACTATAATGTTGCTTTATATTGGGGTCATATTATGGAGGTTATTTAGAGATAATGGAAAAGAAAATGGAAACTACTATATTATATAGGGTTTTTTTGCCTTGGCAGGACCACTTCCCACCGTGCTCCTTCTTAATCGCTGGCGAGTGTGTCCGATCTGCAGTAGGAAATTGGAGTCTCCCAATGCCCCGTCCTGCTGTAATAGGCAGGTTTCATATTGCTTTATGTGCCCACATGGGCCTGGAATATTCCATTCTACCTGGAACTGTGGACGTTCTTTGGGGCTCCCTGAGAAGGAGATCTGGTAAATTGAAATTTGTCGGCTGCCCATTTCTGGAAATATCGTCATTCTCCACAGAATTCTCAGTTGTTGTTCAGAAGCATGTCACAAGCGTGAGTCCCAGGTGGTAGGAAACAGGAGAAGACTCAGCAGAGTTCACGCCATAGCACAGACATGAGGGTACTGCTAGGTCGCCCAGAAGCAATACTTTCTGCTGCGTGCAGCTTAGGTTTTCAGGTGCCGACACCACGGTGAACTGGGAGGCATGCAGACACCAAGTAGTGCTGTGATTGATGGGCAGAATCCTGCATCCCATAGTTGCTAGTGCTAGGGGTTGGGCATGTAAAGGGCATGCAGGCTTGTCCATCAGCAGTAGCACGGTTGGGCAGAAGAAGCTGTTGACAGAAACGCGCTTTCAGGCATGATAGGTAGTGGCATGATGGTTATATGTAAATCAAAGTTTGGGGTTGCACGGTTGCTTCGCCACAACCCCGAGAGTCGTCGTTCTTGAGGCAGCACATGCCATCTGTGATTCGCGGGGTGCTTAATGCTTGTTTCTCCAGGCATCTGGAAAGAAGGAAACTGTCAAGCAATTTCCTTCAGCAAGAACTGTTGATTCCCATAGTGTAAAAAATAAGTGGTGGTCCTAAGCTATCTTTCTCCTTAGGGCACCAGGGCCTCAACATTGCAGTCCTGGCCGTGCTGAAGCTAGCTAATATTTCAAATCTGTGTACACGAAAACATTTAAAGGATCCCTAACAGACTATATCCCTAAACCCTAAACCCTAAACAGTAGCTTCCATTTTCTTTTCCATTATCCCAATATAACCCCTAGATAACCCCTATAACCCGCTCGGCCTGGTGCAGGTTGCCCCGGGGCGACTAGCCAACAGAAGCCTGACTGACTTGCTGACTACACTAGCGGTTTAGGGTTTAGGGTTTAGGGTTTATGATTGGCTTGTGCCAAGCATGATGGGGGCTTCTCCTCGGCTTCCCCCTTAGGGATGAAAATGGTAGTTTCCCAAAATAGGTGGACCCCAATGTGTACCCTAATATATTATAGTCTTAATTATGGGGAACCCCAAGAAGGTACCCCCAATTTTGGGAAACCCCCAAATAGAGATGATTGTGGAAACCTCCAATATGCGAAGGCCTGCATCTGGCTTGCAGTGCCCTGCTTGGGGGCGAGTTTAGATCTTTGCTCTTAGCTGGGAGCCTATGATGCGGTTTAGGGTTTAGGGTTTAGGAGTTTAGGGTTTAGGGTTTAGTGGGGTACGTGAACAGGTTCGATCTAAAAAAGGTACTACTTCGCTGTCCTCACATATTTGCGGTCCCTTGCTTGCTAACGACTGCTCATGAAGCCTGAGGTGCTTTCTCAGGCCGCTACAGTACATGCTAGGTACTGCACCCCAACACTCTCAGAAACTCCATCTGGAAATGATGCAGCTGTAGAGCAAAGATGACAGGGTTGCATAAGGTTGTAGCTGTCCTGCTTGCTACGAGTCTGTAGCATAATGTAGTAGCATTGTGTGATATACTGCGGGTTGTTGGTCCATTGTTCGGGCTGCGTCAGGATTCAGCGTCACATGATGGAGTACAGTGCCAGACATAGCCGTTTTATTCCCTGTTCATTCCCAGTCTTTGGGGTTTGAGCGGGTTACCCAAGCGTTCAACCTAGGACTCATGGCAAAAAGAGCCAGCTTCACCGCATGAAGTTCGCAAGCAATGATAGCAGTGATGATATTCTTACAAGTACTCTTGGATGGTGATTGAAGCCGATCTAATGCGGATAGCAAGTGCACATAAAGAGAGTTTTTTGCTTGTCTAATTCTTAAACGGATCCAGAATACCTGGCCGACCTCAGGCAGCACGGTCGACCTTTGGTCCTGGCAGTCTGTTTCCTTCTCTGCGCCCCGTTACGGACCGGCTTCCGGGAATTTCAGATGAGTCAAGCCACCAGAACTACATACTACATACAAGGTATATAGCGCAAGGTATTACGTATAGTATAGGATAACATAGTCCAACATCTTGTACTATACAATATCACACAGTCGACATAGTAGAGCCAGGCGATGTGACCAGTTTCGGGTGCCAATTCAAGGGAGGCCTGCTTGTCTACCCAAGTAGAGGTTATAATACAGTGTAGCATAATAGAGCATGGTGTAGCAAAATTTAGTACAATATACGGAATGAAGCATAGTACCGCAGTCCTGCCACCCAACCCTGGGCGGGTTCGGGTTCCCAGGACGCCGGGGGCGATGGATGAGCTTTCCGACGACGAGGCCACCTTCCTTCTCGTCTGTCATCTTTGCCATTATGATTCATGAGGTCACCGTGCGCATCTTATGGTTACTTTGTTTTTCTGCTTGTTATTGCTCTAAAGTGTCAAATTAGGCATTTGCATCAGCATTCCGTTACTGCCATTGCTACCGCATGCCTCTGAACCACCATGCCCGATACCGCTGCTGTTGCTGCTGTTGTTGCTGCTGCTGCTGCTGCTGCTGCCACTGCTACTGCCACACAGTTCTTGCTACTACTGCTGCTCCTGCTCCTGCTCCTGCTCCAACTGCACTTCTGCTAGTGCCACGGCTGCTGAAGTTTTGCTCCTGCCGTTGCTCCGAAGACTCTAGCCGCAAAAGACCAAAGGGTTCAGCACCTGATGATTGCGATCACTGGTTTTGCTGTTGTCAGTCCCTCTCCGTCATGCTTCCTTCCACTGCAAAAACTTCTGCCATGGCCCCTGTAAACCCTAAAGCGTATGTTGTAATCCCTCACCCTCAACCCTACATAGTAGTTTCCATTTTCTTTTCCGTTTTCCCTATCTAACCCCCAATATATACCCTATATAAATCCCATATACCCCTATATACCCTAAACCCTACGCCCTCTACCCTATACCCTATATTCTATCTGCTTAAGGGGACTATAATTCCTATAAAGGGTATGTAGCCCCCAATATATACCTTATAATCCCTATAGAATCCCAATATAACCTCTATGACTCCTATAATCCCTACATCATTCCTATGTAACCCCAATAAGATCCCTTCAAAGGGACCCCTCTTTTCCATGCTTTCCAGGCCTGCCTCAGAGGAGGCCCTGCAGGCCCGGTTTCAATACCTCTGCCGCACGGCTTCATACGAGGCGAGGTCTTTTGGGGTAATATTGGGGGTATATTGGGGTAATATTGGAGTAACTTTGGGAGAATGTAGGGTATATATTGGGGTTATATTGGGTTGGGGTTGTGTTGGGGTTATATTGGGTCAATATTTGGGGTATATTGGGGTTATGTTGGGGTTATATTGGGTGTATATTGGGGTACTATTGGGGTAAGATTAGGGTTATATTGGGGTATATTGGGGTGATATTAGGGTAATATTGGGGTAATATGGAGAAGATTTCTTCAACAGTTATTTAGTTCCGGTTTATTTTGAGAGGTTTAGGTTTAGGGGTTCTGCAAGGGGTGTGTGTGGCTCCATTGCTTCCCGCAGAAGAAGGCTGCCTAGCTAGATATGTTCAAGGTCTTTTGTCCCGGTGTCGTCTCCACTCTGAGGGCACCCTCACACTCGGAAGGGACAGGGTTGCAGACGGGTGCGCGCGTCTTTGCCACCACACCTTCGCCACAGGGACTGAGTGGGTTCCGAGAGCGTGTAGCCGCGAGAAGCGTGCTGGTTTCCATGGCTAGCAGCTACACACTGCTAAACACACACGCGACGTTGCCTGCCTGGCCTGGTGAGTTTTAGATCGACCTTCCACGGAACAGCATTCTCGAATGAGTTTCCAGAAGCATGACATCTTCCCCTACTGCCCAGCTTGCTGGTGCCGGGCTTGCCTAGTGGCCGCTTCGTGCGAGGGGTGGTCTGCTTTGCTAAGCTGGACTGACTTCCGCGCTGTTTCGGTGCATGGAACGTTTGCTGGCGGGAGCTCCAGCTGTTGGAGCAACAGTTGTGGAGCCCACTCGGAAAGCGACGAATTCGGCGCTTCAATCACTTCGTGGCGCCTTTG